CTTAAATATATGCAGAGAAAAGACTGCATAAATGAAACAAAATCTCTTTATTTGTTAATAAAATTTCCAAAGTTATTTAAAATAAACACATGACTATAAACTATTGAATGAATGAACAAATGTCCTATACAAGGAGATTTCAGAAAGTTCACAGAAAATGGAATTATGGGGCTAGCAGATGGATTAGTGGTTAAGGCGCTGGACCCCCCCACATGGCCGACCACAGTTTGAGCTCAGACCTGGTGGCTTGCTTTCTCACTTTCCTTTTCTCTCTCTCTGGTCACATTAAAAAAAATAATAGTAACAAATTGGTTGCAAATATACTATTTTCCTCTTTAATTTAGACTAAATTAAATGAAATGAGTTTTATCCTTAAATATATGCAGAGAAAAGACTGCATAAATGAAACAAAATCTCTTTATTTGTTAATAAAATTTCCAAAGTTATTTAAAATAAACACATGACTATAAACTATTGAATGAATGAACAAATGTCCTATACAAGGAGATTTCAGAAAGTTCACAGAAAATGGAATTATGGGGCTAGCAGATGGATTAGTGGTTAAGGCGCTGGACCCCCCCACATGGCCGACCACAGTTTGAGCTCAGACCTGGTGGCTTGCTTTCTCACTTTCCTTTTCTCTCTCTCTGGTCACATTAAAAAAAATAATAGTAACAAATAAAATTAAATAAATAATTTTTTAAAATGAAAATAGAATTAAAGTACATGTTCATATTGATGCAAAAAATCTGAAACCTATCCAGTTTTTTTTAATAATATGTATTTTCCATGAATACTTTGGAGTACCTTTGTACATCTGTGAATTTTATACTTTGAAAATTATTCACATATTTATAAAACTTTGTTCTTAACACTTTTACTTACAAATATAAGATATTCAATAATCAATTTGAATTGCCAATTATTCTATTCTAAGTAGAATGATACAAACACTTTCTTTAAGGTCTATGAGACAAAGCATCCCATCCCTCTTAGTAATGTTATGACTCAAGTAACAAATATGCATATCATGCTCTATAAATTAAGTCAGATGATCATATAATTTCACTTATGTGTACAGGTATATATCCGCATAATATAATAATATGAAATAATTGTATCTGATATATAAAAAATCTTACTCCAACCCCAAAATGTCTGTTCCATTGGCATGAAAGTAAAACAAAATTACAGTATTTAAGTGACAAATAACAGAGTAAGTAAATACTTTTTTATTTTTATGATATGGTATGGAGGGACATCATTCATGAGAAAAACTCTGACACAAAGTATATAACAAATATAACTAGTATCACTGTATCTTTAGATAATGTGACAATTTTTTAAATAAAAGCATGCTAGTCCTTATAAGCAAAAGTTAGTTGATACTCAAAATTATAAACAAGAATGACCATTTCCTTTTTAGAAAAGAAAATCATATTAGTATGTATATATTGAAAAGAACCAAGAATTCTTTGTCATATTGATCAATATAAAAATTGACCTAAGCCAAAATCAATTAAAAATTAGGAATCTCTTTAGAGAGTTAATAACATCACACTTGAATATCTTTTCCTTGATTGAATCAATGTAACATAGTTAGGACAAATGTAAGTTAATCTTTAATCACCAAAGTAAAGCATGGATATTAATTGAATTGACCCTATACACTTATTAAACCTATGTTGGAGCCATATTTTAACAGCACATCTTAAGGTAGCTGATCGAATTTTTTTAAGTGAGCAATTCTATCATTACTACAATATTTGCTCATGTCAGAACAAATCACATTTTATACATCAAGGTATTAGACAATAGCTTCAGAAATCCATATGGCATTTTCTAATGTGTTGATTATAAAGGCATGGGGGATTTCTGTTATTCCTTTGAAGAATAGGCCACTTTAAGATGCAGAGTAGCAAACTTGAATTCCTGGTATTAACCATCTGATAAACTTTTTTCATTTAGCAAGCTGGCTATTCTGCAGTTGCCTAGTGACTCTGACAGTCACTATTACTTTGACTTCCAAATAATAATTGTCTTCGTACTAAATATATAAATATAAATATAAAATTCTTTTAGAAGCTAATGTTGGTTCAACATTAAGAAGAAATGTTTCATATTATAATAAGATTTTATACTTCTGAAAAGCTTCAGAGTTTCTGAAAATGACTTTGAAATATAATCTTATTAATATTTTGTATTCTCATGAGAATCAAGTAATTGGCAAATATTTCTTGATTTTGGAAAATAGAAACTAATGAAACAATTAGCAAATGTACTTGCCCTGGGCTAAATACTGAAGCAATGGAAAGTCATAGTGGCAATACTGACACTTAACTGAAACACTTACTATGCATTCCATGTACAAGACTGTTTATGCAGAGGACCGTAAAGACAGAAAGAACAACCAAAAGAATTTCAGAAAACATAAAGTTCAACATAGTCTGACAAGGATACTTGTTATTTGATTAATTGTGCTTGGTGATGGTGATGGAACTAGAACTTCCAAGAACAAATTTCTCTACACAGTTTCTGGGTGACTAATATTGAGTGTGATCAGGGACGCACTAAAGGACTTTGACTTCTTCTTTATAACAAAGCTAAACCTGACAAAAATCACAACTGTGCAATAATATAAGAGAAGAAAAAGAAAATAGGTAGAGTTAAATTTCAACCTAAATGGATCTTTAAACCTGTCAACATGTCTGATTCTAAAAGACTATAAAAAACAAAGTTTGATTCTAAAGGACAATAAAAAACTAAAATTCAATCTTGGTGGTGCATGCTGCTACAACACTGTGGGTCCCCAGCCTGGACCATGTGGGAGGCACAGGTTCCACGCCAAGTCCAACTTAAAGGCCACACTTAGTGGCACAAATATGGTCCAGGCTACTCCAGAGCTGAGGCAGAGGATTGGGAATTATTTTTATTTTCTCAAGAAAGCAATAATATCCCAAGAAATACAGAGGACCCCAAATAGAATCAACCCAAGAAGATCTTCTCCAAGACACATTATAGCCAGATTGACCAAAACCACAGACAAAGACAAGATACTAAGATTGGCAAGAGAAAAAAGGCAAGTTACCTACAAAGGGTATCCCATCAGACTAACGGCAGACCTCTCATCGGAAACAATGCGAGTGAGGAGAGAATGGGAAAATGTATTCAAAGTATTAAGGGAAAAGCAATTTCAACCGAGAATTCTGTACCCAGCAAGGTTATCGTTCATTTGGGAAGAAAAGACACGAACTTTCCCAGATAAACAAAACCTGAAAGAATTTACCAGCACCAGACCGGATCTCCAAGAAGTTCTTAAGGGAGTGCTATGTCAGTAAAATTAAATGCAGACACACAGAAATAAGAGTTCAGAAACTAAGAAAATGGGCAACTTAATTGTAGGGCCAAAAGCTGGAGTTGAGTATTACATCCCAGATTTCAATCTGGAACATCGAACCTCAACAGATACAGAAGAAAGATTAAGTACATGAGACTGAACTGATGAAACAGTATTCTACGACTTGACTAAAATATTGCTGCTTTTCTTCTAAGCTTTGTTGTCCGGTTTTAAGGATTTTTGTCCTGTCTTCAGCTATCAATAGATTCATGTTCCGACTATTTGAACAGAATACTAACCTGTTTCTAGGCTTTAAGTTTCAAAGAAATATCCTTACCAGTTCAAAACTGCTTTTCTTGAAACCATCGGCTGATCTTGCTATTGAAAGTAGTTAGATTACTTATGATATTGTGTGATCAACGAAATGTTGGGGGAAAAGGAATTGAAGACAACTGTAGACAGCAGAGATAGTGTAATAAGAGAGTGGAATAGGGCAGAGGGCTAGACATGGGGTAAAAAACATATATATGAAAGTAGAAATGGAATATTATGGATGATAACATGCATTATTAAGCCACTATGCAGTATATTCTAGATGGGAAACCACATTTAGAATGTTGTGATGATGCTCAGGGAATGAATGTAAATTAATAAAAAAAATTTCAGAGGAAAAAAAAAGCGATCACAATTATTATTTTAAGAGAAATTTTCTAAGCAATTCCAGCCTGTATTTTTAGAAAATCTTTATTACTTTGTTGTTGTTGTTGGTAATGTGAAATATTTTATAAGATGTAAGCAGTGTTTTGATTTGTGGGAAAAGATGAGCCCAACATGGAACTCCTAAGTGCAAAAAAAAAAAAAAAAAAAAGAAAGAAAGCAATAATAGAGGCCGGTAGGTGACATGGTGAAAACTGTATCCTCACATGGCTGACTAGTTTGAGTCCCAGACCTGGCAGTTTGCTTTCTCACTTTCTCTCTCCCTCTCTCTGATCAAATAGAATACATAATAATAAATAAATTAACATACATAATTATTTTTTAAAAGCAACAACATAGAAAGGTAAGCATTCATGTGTATAGAATTCCCAAAATGAATTTGATTTCTAATATTGGAATTGGCTCACCTATTACATAGTAATAGCTTTCTTGGCCTAAAAATGAATATAATAATGTTCCCTGATTATGAAGAGTAATCAGTTAGTATGTTATTTTACACAGAAAAACTAGATAGATAATAGGAACGATCATTTTCAATAATATTTTACGAAAGTAATACCACGAAACAACTAAACGGTTGTAATGAATCTTTATAAAAACATGAAGGAAAAAAATGAAACAGGATGAAGAAACCCTTTTATTCCAAGCTTTTGCCCCCCTCCCGCCCCCCGCTGGAGGCACATGTGTTTGTCAGAGAAAGGGAGAAGGCATGGTCATCAGGCCATGCCTTCTCCCTTTCTCTGACTTTTCAGAATCTGGGACACGCAAGCATACACACCTGATACATTTTTCAAGCTGCTGGGTCTCGGTCTCGAATCACACAGTCATATGGGATTCAGCCACCTTAACCACCAGGCTACAGGATGACCCTCCAATTTTCTATGTTAATATGGAAAACTTAGAATTTTTTTTTCCCCACAGCTTTAAAAGACCAATCTAGACTTACCTGGCCCATCGTCAGTCACTTTTTCCAGGTATCGAGGAGCTGCACTAAGAAAAGAGGCATGTTTTCTTTTAGCCACTGAACTACGAGGTGGCATGTACTTATGTTTAACTTGGGACATCTCATATGATTTTTGAACATCATAGCTGCCTGGTGCTGGAATCACCTGTAAAACATTTTAATGGATGAGCATAAATATATCTTCTATAGAAAATATCCAAGATATCAGATATAGATTCATAGTAAGCAATGTTCTAAGTAGAAAAATAAAAAAAACTTTAAAAATTAATTATTAAAGATAGAAACTATAAAGAGGATCCATAAATCTATGCCCTCCTAACAAAAATGCAAATTCACTTGTCAATTAAATTAAAATAAACAGAATTATGAAATATAGGGTCATATTATTTCCTGTTTTTATTTTTTCATCACCAAAGGGTGTGTGTACTCACCAGAGACACAGGAAAAAGACAGAGAAAGAGAAAGGAAGAAAGCAGTTCCCACCGGGGCATGGTCATGCCACAATCCCGTCTTCATTGCTCCATTCTGTTGGGATTTGGGGCATGCATATACACACGCTCAACATATTTTTCAAGCCACTGGGCAGGATTCAAACCTCGGTCAGCCATGTGGAATCCAGGTACCTTATCACTAGGCTATGGGGCCAGCCTTAGAGGACCATATTCTTTCAAAAAATAGTCCTACTGCTATAGATTAAACTCTTATATTCACACTTAATAATTAAAATCAAATTTCGCACAGGAATGAGCAATGATTATTTGTTTTCATGAGCAGCAAAACTATTCCTGCTTTACTGTTCTATGTGAGCATACTTTTTCTACAACATAAGGCAGCTTATTTCATTTGTAATAGATTCCAATTAAGTTAAAAGACTTCCCCTTTCATCATCTATGGCTCTTTCCATGATCAGCAGTTATGTTAACATTTCTAATCAACATAAGCCAACATAGATACTAATGACTACAATAATAATTCTAAACTAAATTAAATATAAATGCCATCTATTTATTATACCATTAATGCCTTAAACCTTTAGCGAAATGAAAACATTTTGAAATTCATTTTCTTCATTTTAAATTATTTTAAAATAACATATTTATTTTAAATATGTTCATCTACATTATGTATAAAACCCAAACTTTCAAGTCTTTCTGTTTGGTTGGTTTTGGGCCATAGGGTGTATGTGTTTGCCATAGAGAGAAAGTGAGAACCCCCTCCTCATCCCCCTGCCAGGGGAGACAGCCACACCACAACCCCTCTCCATTCTCCTCTCAGGATTTTTGAACTCACATATGCCTGACATATTTTTTCATGCCATTAGTCCAGGATTTGAACGATGGAGTTGAACACGTGGGACCCAGCACCTTAACTACCATGCCATCTGTTGGCCCCAAAACTTTTCCATTTTAATAATTTTCTGAGAGGCAGGAGAGAATGGTATGGACTCCAGTGCTAAACTTCCCAGGTTTCAAATATCTCTGCTTATGAGTGACGTGTCCTAAGGCAAGCACTGAAACTCTGTAAGGCAGTTTCCTCATCTGAAAAGTGCTCAGAGCGACAGTATTTATATCATTGGGATATTATGGGGAGTAAGTGAGTTAAAACAAGTAAAACATATACTTAGATTAGTACCAGATTCTATAGAATTGTGAAACTAATATTACTATTTGAGAAAAGCAAATTCCAGTGCAAAGAATGAGACTAGATAATCTGGGCTTCAGCCAAGGAGGAAATTTTTTTTATCTAACTGCATTTATTTTATTTATTTATTTTTAACTTGACCAAAAAGAGACAGAGAGAGAGAGAGAGAGTAAAGTGAGAAGGAAAGCCACCAGTTCTGGGACTCGAACCACAGTATGCCGTGAGAAAGCACCTTAATCACCACGCCACCTGCTGGTCCCAATGATGAAATATTTTAAAGCTTCAAATAAGTCAAACAAATCTGGATTTTGAGAAATGCTTTTAAAGTCCCTCTAGAAGCCATACTTTTCAATATACCTTTTCTTGTCCCTTATTATCAATATGAAAGCTCTCAAGCATATGGCAGCATTGGCTTCTGCTTCCAAAGAATCACTAAATATGGTAAGAGTATTGAGCATGACTGGGGTAGGAGATTCTCACATGAAACCCCACATTTCTGGTTGCATGCAGTGTCTAACACTAAGAGTCACGAAGGGTAAGTCAACGAAGAACTGCCAGCAGCTATTTTCTCTTGCCTGCTCAAGAGTATATATCACGAAGGGTAGGCTGAAGACGAGTGACAGTGGCAGTTTTCCATGACATGCATATCCCTTGAAGCTGTCTCTGAGGAATGTGGAAGCAAAGTGGGAAGAAAAAGTACAAAGAAACCATGAGTACACTACACGTACCCAGTAGAGTCTGTAAAGACCTTGACTGCGCCTACCATACATTTCAATTCTCTTATCAGGAGCTATCATTGTTCCCGCTTTTCTTAACACCCGGCCTGGAGTCACCACTGAACCCTTGGCCGTCCAGTACTTAGCTACTGCCACACATGGACCGCGCCTTAAAGCAAAGCAAAGAGACCACATCCTTGATCAAGTTACTTTAACAACAGTGTGTTGCTGCCGAGGGAAGTTCATCAAACAAATTAGCTTAAATTCAATAGATTCATTAGCTCTCCTATCAGCTGAATATATCCTTCTTCCCCTCGTTCATGGCCATCCCTCTCTACAGCATATTTATGCTCCTCTGAGAACTTATTCCTGCTTGTCTCCTTTATTGATGTCCCTGACCTCTTCTTACGCATGTCCAATTCTCATTTTATCTGACCAAGAGATTAATATTTCAAGTAAATACCCTAGGCTAATGACTAGTAAGACAAATCTGAAACTCTTACTAGTAGCAATAACTTAAACAATATCTATATATGGTATCCTAAATATATTGGACGCCATGTCAAGGAAAAAAATGGTTCATGTAGGTAAAATCATCATCTCTCTGTTGGCAATCATTCATACATCACAGAAAATAAAAAAGGCACGTAAATGGTGGATTTAGCAGACATTTCTTATGTATTTTCCTCCCCTCTTCCCTAGTTTTTGAATCCTATTCCATGTTTGGGAACTCCACATTATGTAGGAGAATCTGAATCATAACACAAAAGCTAGACATGTCAATTCTCATTTTCCTGTTCTCATTTTTCAGCTAGGACATGTATCTAGATTATAGGCTTAAATGCCAGCCCTTGAATTGGCAGCCAGTTATTCGAAGAAACACAAAACATTAAAAATTTCCTTCCAGTACTGGCAGCCATGACCCGTTCCCAGAAACAACTGTAGGAGAACAAAATAAAAGAGGCAATTAGAAACTCAGGGAAAAAGTCTGATGAAATAAAAGATACATCAATGAAAACTAAAGGTGAGTCTAAAATACCCTGATTTTCCTCTTCTGGAAAACCAGGCTCCTACATAAAAATGGTTAAAGAATCATAGAACTGTGCTTAATGCATGTAAAACTCCTTAGACTGGTATGTGACTCACAGGAGTACTAGAGTTTGCTTTCACTGCTATCACTTTCATCATTAGCATATTACCCTTACTAGGAATGGGACTTCATGGAACCTCAGTGTTATCTCTTCCTTATCTGAAGAGAGATGGCAATTGGAATTTTTTTTTTTTAAGTTTTTGCTATAGGACACATCCGTTTGCCAGAGAGACAGAAAGAGAGACAGTAATAGGAAAAGTAAGACATCACCCTCCAGAGGGATGGCCACACTGCAATCTCTTTTTCCTCCGTTCTTCTGGGATTCTGGGCACTCCTATACACACCCCCAGAATGAGTCTCAACCTGCCAGGTCCGGGACTCAAACCACAGCCAGTCATGTGGGTGACTGCTGGCCTCAGCAATTGGATATTTAAAAAGAAGCCTCTAGTACTTTAAGCCTCAAACAAAACAAAACAAAAACAAAAAGTATTAGGTTATTAAGAATCACATGAAGATAGTGTCCAAGGCAATTAAAAATTTTTTAAAAAGGGCTGGCAATTGGCATGGTAGTTAAGGGCGCTGGACCCCCACATGGTCAACCGTGGTTCGAGTCCTGGACCTGGCAGCTTGCTTTTTGCTTTCTCACTTTCTTTCTTTCTCTCTCTCTCTCTCTCTCTCTCTCTCTCTCTCTCTCTCTCACACACACACACACACACACACACACACATGCTCTGTCCCTCTCTGGTCAAATTTTTAAAATAACAATAAAATAATTCTTTTTTTTATTTTTTTTTTAATTGCACTGGTTGCAAGCAACTTCAAAGGACGGTAGGTCAGCCTACCTATATTTTAGGAAAAAATCACATCGTATACTTTGTGATTTTATCCAACCCTGCCAAGTCCAAGTCCCTGTAAGATTCCCCATGCGTGGCAATCCTGCATTACTAACCCACTTACAACCCAAGCCTGACTGACCCGTAACTCCAGAGACCGCCTCCCAGTTTTATCAAAAAATTTAGGATTTTTTTCAATTCCATGCAATGCCCCCTGCCATTCTGACCCATGATATTTCATACACCTTCTGACCTTAAACGTGCAAAACTACATGTATGCTCTGATCTTTCACAACTCTGATCACCAAACACCAAATATGAAATCCTTCAGTCCAAGCAAAGAAGAGCACATTTGACCTCTGTAATTCCCATGCTGTGACACACTGTAAGTAAAGACTTAATTTGAGTTTTAGTATCAGAATTAAGTTTGCCTTTACTATGCTATTGCAAACAATCTGGAAATGTCTTTCTCTAACATTCATGTTTAAATGATAGATTCACTGAATATAGAATTTTTGTTTGACATTTACTTCCCTCAGCATGTTGATACATCATTTCACTAGTTACTAGTCTCCACTGTTTCTGTTAAATCCCCAGTTAAGCCAGCTAATCATACTGTTTACATTGTGTGGAATAAGTTGTCTTTTTCTCATTGCTTCCAGAATGTTCTCTTTGTCTCTAACTTTCACCGGTTTCACTATGCTGTGTCTAAGTGCAGACTGTCTTTATATTTATCCTACTTCAAGTTCATTGAGCTTCTTCGACCCAGAGATGAATTGTTTTCATTAAACTTTAAAAGGTTTCAGGGATTATGACTTCAAATATTTTTTTCTTCCCCTTTCTTTCTCATGTCTCCCTCGTGGAG